TCATAATAAAAAGTTATGGGAGGGGAAAAAGAGAAGAACAGTTTAAAAAGTAATCAGCTTGAAATCCACATAACACCATTAACAGTGTCAGGAAAAAAGAATATTCTCAAGCAAAACCTGTGAGAGTATGTACTGTTGCAGTATAACTGGAGGGCAATGTGGCAATGTCTATGGGATTTTTAAAAGTGTGTATCTAGTGATGCTTACTCCTAGGAATCTGTCCTGAAGATCTACTTCTCCATACATGAAATGACATACACACTAAATTATTCTTTACAGCATTAGGTGTAATAGCAAAAGACTGGAAATAATCTATATGTATATCAGTCCAGACTGGTTTCACAAATTATAGCACCTACAATAAATGAGTATGCATCTTCTAAATTATCTCTTCAAAAAATCTGAGAACTCTTCGGGAACTGATATGAAAAATGACCGTGTCATGTTTTATATTAAAAAAATTCAAGATTCAGAAGAATTATGTACAGCACGCACACGTATATGAAACCTATGCAAAAATATGGTTGAATAGCTGGAGCCAGAGGGAAAAAAGTTGCAGACTTTTTTTTAACTGTCCACTCCTTTTTGTACCTTATCAATCAACTTTGTAGCATAGACATATATAATGTATTCAAAAAATCTTTTTGGTAAGTACTGATTCACTGTAGCTATAATGAACTCTTCCAATCTCCATGTTTTCATTACCAAAATCATGGAGCTACAGCTCACCTGGGAATTAGTGAATAAGGTGAAAACAACATAGAGTAAACATTTGCCTAACAAATCCCTTAAATATATGCCCACTAGACTGATACACCATCTCAATAATTCCAACACAGCTAATTTTCACTCCACTTGAATAGTTCACCTTTTCTTCAACAAAACAGCTAGCTTGTCCTTAGACCTCATGCTGTGATGTTAAAAATGTGTCGTTAAAAAACCATAATCACACTCATCACACAGCTAGATGAGAAGCATTCAGGAATTGAGACAGGCTGAGAGAAGAGCAAATTTTCATTTCCCATGTCACACTTGATCCAGAACCTTCACTGTTTAGGCTATTTCCCCCTTATTTTTGTCACCAGATGCATGGAACTTAATTTGCAAACTCCTTTGCATCTAAATCTGAATACTCAGGTTCAGAAAAAAAGGAGAGTGGTAATACCTCTTGATCAGTATCAAGGTCATTTGAACTGAGTTATAGCCCATTCCTTTATGTTAACATTCCCATACACTGATAATGTAGATTTCTAGATCTACACTCTGAGAAACAGAACTCTGAGTAAAGTGAGCTACCACTGAAACAAAATAAAAATTCCCAACCCATTCTCTCTCTCCCTGCTCTCTCTGATGTTCATATTCCCACTAGACACTTTTCTTGGAGGATTCACTGATAGGCAACTCAAATTCCTTATAAATTGGAACTCATTCTTTCTCCCTCCCCCACTCCCACTTCCTGTCTGCTCTTCTAGTACTATCTTGGAAAAGACAGTAAACATCCATCTGGTGCCCAAGGCAAAAACCTAAAATTCATACTGTACTCACCTATCACCTACTCCTTTAACTAGTCCCCAAGTTCTGTAGATCCTATCACCTACATCTCTTTTAAGTCCTCCCCACCTTCCTCACACCCACTGTCGATGCTTTGGTTTGCCTTCCCCATTGTTCACGTGAACTAACTGGTCTCCGTGCCTTCTGTCTCTTCAACCCACCGTGCACACACCTGAAAGGTTAACTTCCTAAAATACAAATTTGGTACTTTAAGAGCAGAAGGAACAAGTCCCAAAGTAACGATAAAGTAAGCTAAAAACAAGCTCTTTTAATAACATGATACAATGCAAAGAGAATGTACTACCCAATTTATTTCTTATGAGTATGTTCTTACTCTATCCCACACTATATGACCAAATTAAATAAGCTAATAAATCTGTTTTGGTAAAAAGAGACTACACAGAAGCAAAAACATCCAACTGCTTTCTTAGAGTAAAAAATGAACACAAAATGGATCATAGCAGTGATAAAGGCACCTGAAGGAAAACAAAGGGCTTCCGAGACCTATAAAGTCAAGAATGCATTCAAGTTGAATATACTAACTAGTCTAAAAACACGTGCCTTAATGAGAAAAGGATTTGGGAAATAAAAGCAAACAAAGAGGTTCTGCCACAGGGAAAAACCACCCATCCCTGACGTAGGGTGGGACCAAGGTGGCCTCAGTCCCTGTCCAGCAAATATCTCACTTCTCTGGTTGAGTTCATGCCAACTAAGCCACCCGACTATGATTGAACCTGATAGGTAAAGTCTACACACATAAATACAATATGCCAGTCACTAGGTTTGAACCTTCGGGTCCCTCTAACTTTTGTTTCTTATTCGAAAAAATTAAACTGATATACTAATTAGGAACTAATAAGCAAACTACCTATCAAAAAAGTTTATATTGGGGTGCCTGGGTGGCTCAATCAGTTAAGCGTCTGACTTTGACTCAGGTCACAATCTCACAGTTGGTGGGTTCAAGCGCTGTGTCAATCTCTGTGCTGACAGCTCAGAGCCTGGAGCCTGCTTCGGATTCTGTGTGTCTGTCTCTCTCTGCCCCTCCCCCCCTTCTCCCTCTCCCTCTCTCTCTCTCAAAAATAAAAAAAAATTCAAACTGTTTACATTAATCACACCAAAATGCACATATCGTTAATAAACTGGAATTCTGGTTTTATACATCAGTCTTGCATAGCTGGTTAATGTGCCCTGACCTGGAATAAGGAGTTGCTTTGAGCCTGTGACCAGATCAGATTTCTAAGGGGTTTAAACAAATGACCGGACCTAGGATTAAGGTAAGTTCTAAAAATGCACTGGTGGTTATTTAAATGTAAATTTAAATTAAATAAAATTTAAAATTCAGGTCCTCAGTGACAGAGCCACATTTCAAAATAACCACATGTGATTAGCGACTACCATACTGAACAGCACAGGCAGTGAACATTTTCGTTATCACAGAAAGTTCTACCGGACAGACTATTCTGGAAGATAACCTCCAATAAACCCTACCATGAGTCATCTTGGGAAACAGCCTGACAGTACTGGATGGCTACCACAGAACCGAGATCTAGACCGTTTTCTATACCAAAGGTAAGAGGTAGATGTTCAACAACAATTTTCCTTTTCCTCTGCACTGATTTCAGTTTCAGCCCTCAGGATTTCCACCCCTCTTTTTATCACAGGATGACACTCGTACTACAGGCGGTATAGCACAGATGTCAGAAGCACATTCTCTGAAGCCAGACTCCCTGAATTCATACCTCATCTTTGTCTTTTACTAGACGTGTAATCTTGGACACATTATTTAATTATTCTATCCTTCAGTTTCCTCATCTGGCACCTACCTCCCTGGGTTACTATAAATATACAAAGTTTATACACATAAAGTGCTTATAGGGGTGCTGGGTGGCTCAGTCGGTTAAGTGTCTGACTTCGACTCAGGTCATAATCTCACGGTCCGTGAGTTCGAGCCCCGCGTCAGGCTCTGTACTGACAGCTCAGAGCCTGGAGCCTGTTTCAGATTCTGTGTCTCCCTCTCTCTCTGCCCCTCCCCTGCTCGCTCGCTCTCTCTAAAAAATAAAAACATTAAAAAACAAATGAAGTGCTTATAATTGTGCTCAATACAGAGTAAGTGTCCAGTACGTGTTAACTGCTAGTATTTTTACTGTTCCCACCACACCATCCTCATAGCTCTTCAGATGACAAGTGTGTAAAATGCTCACTTAGGAGAAACATTAGCAAATATAAAGGAATTAAACTAAAACAAGGATCACAATGCAAGAGTATCCATCTATGATAAAAAGATATTCTTTTTTAAGATTAAAGGAAATGGATTCTGTAGGGAATATTAGATACCCAAAAAAAGGCACGTTTTTAAGAGAGTTACCCAACAATGTCTTATTCGTAAGGCTGACAAACTACAGGTCAAAAGAAGTCCATGTAATAAGCTACTGAGCTATTTAAATAACCAGTAAAAACTAAAGAGGAACTGAGAAGATACAGGTTCGAGTTCACTAGACCAAATGATACTTCCCTGTATAAACCGTGTTTTGACATTTAAAGGCACTGCCTCTCTCATACTCCCTAAGTTACCTGTACGTTCACTTGACGAACTGACCGAAGATCTTCTAATTGCTTCATCAAGCAGAAAAAGCACCAGATATAATTAAAATGCCACACCAAACAATGACCAGTCAGGTATTTTCTGAGTGGAAACCCACCGTAGAAACCCACACCTTGCTCCTGCAGATGGGCAATTTGAAAATCCAGAGGTTGAAGTACAAATTTCAGCAAATGTAGTCACATGGAAAGAGCCAGAACTTTGGAAGCATAAAGACTCAAGCCTAAAGCCTGGCTTTGCCATTTACTAGCTCTATGACCCTGGGCAACTTGAACTTAATGCTTATGAGCTTCATCTCACTATCTGTAAAATGTAAGGTAAAAGCATGTGCCAACTGAATCAGAAATGTGTGTAAAGAGCCTCCAACAGTGCCTGGTACGCAGCAGATGCTCAAGAAACAGGTGCTACAGGTAGTAAATCTTCCTGAGAAGACCCTCCAAGAGTCCTAAGAATGAAACACCACTGCTTTACATAGTGACTACAAAAACTATTCTGACCAGGTATCAGGTATAAATCATGAGAGAATACCTCGAAATTACCATTTGTTTTCCATATTTTATAAGCTATTCCCCAAATTTCCCTTGTTTTCCGTATTCCCTGTTAGATTATAACTATAAACCATCTGGGCCTACAATGAAAATAACTGCCCTTCTCGCACTAAAACCAAGCGTCCACTAGCAATTCTGCCACATGCACCTTCACTAATCCACCCCAGACACGAACACTGTGTCTAAACATCTAACATCCTTCCTGTCTCTACCAATGGAAAAAAGTAGAGAAATTCTGTTTTTTAAGTTTCTTTCAGTGAGTTGAGGTCCATACAACAAAACAATACAGGGTAATTGCTTACCTGGAAAATATTTTGTACTTCAGATCCACCAATCCAGAATGAATGGGGGTATTCCCTTTCAGACTAGTCTGAGAAAAGACAGCAGTCAAGCAGCTTCCAAGATTCTTTCCGTTTACTGTATCCAGCTTTCTTCAATAAAATCCCAAACATGCACTTCGGTAACTGTTGAAAGACAGAAAGCAATCCGTACACCCACCATGGCACCAGCGGCAAAGGACAGCCACCAAGAAATGGAAGGAAGGGTCATCGGAGTGGTGGATCTGAGGCACAGAAAAGTCACAACCCCTGAGTCAGCTATTTGGTATAAAAGTTCTGTAGCAGCATTCTTCACCTCTGTGCCGACAAAAGGATAAGAAATTCTACATGGTAGAGAAAGAAACATTCCCTAATATTAATTTTTACTCATGATAAATACGCGATTTCCAATGAGAGCAGCTAAAAACTTACTCCGTTATCCACATAAATTGTCCCAGACCATTCAGCTACGATGAACTTCCTTACCCATTTTCTAAGACAGCTCCTCCAGCATTACAAAAAAATTAATGATATAGGAAGGCTCAAATATCTCCCAAAAAAGATATTTAGGCACCTAACAAGAAATCTTTTGGTTTGCTACCTATAAGACATCAAATCTACACATTACCCAAATCTTCAAACCTCACCTGAAATACACGACATTTTAAAAACACATGGCATAATTTTAAGAGTGAACTTCTGATTCAATAAAGACCAACCCTCTACAATGACCAGTCATTGGGTAAACTAAGGAAAATAATTTAAAAAACACTAATAAACAATTTACTAAATAACACCTTTAAATATATAAGCCGAGTCAACACTGTATCAACATTCTTTTACTACCATACCAACTTCTCCATCAGACTGCAAATATACAAATTATAAGGGAGAGAGAAAAAAGCCATTCTACGGAATAACATAGATAAAAATTTTAAAAAATCAGTCAAAAGACTGTTAGTTACATATGAATTTTCTACTTCCTTAAAAACCTACAGCCAAAATGTTCCTGCAGTAATTAGAATACCTACCTTTAAGGCTACTAATGGGTCAGGACCTTTACATTCCTTACTCATATTTAATTCTCAAAAAAAAAAAAAAAAAAAAAAAAAAAAAAAAAAAAGAGAAGAAATAACTTGCCCAAAGTCCCACATCTACTAATTGGTAGAGACCATCCCCTTTCCACAGAGCACTGTGGCCTGCCAAGTCTAAGGATCAGAAAGGCCATGATTCCTGGGGCAGAAGAAACCAAGCTTTACTCTCAAAGGTCCGGAGTTAACGTCAGAATAGAGAAGCACAAAAATACAGAAGAGTAAATATTTCAGCCTAGCCAAACTAAAACACAACTGAACCAGTTAAGCCATCCTGAAAGGGCTAACGCTCCATATTTTACCACTTAAAAAAGCATTTCTTTAACAAAGGCATGCAATTGTGAGGCTCACAATATTTATAATAAAACACATTATAATGTTGCCAAGTAGGTCTTTGTGTTTAGCAGCAAAGACTGTCTGTGACAAAGAATCTCAAATCCAACTGAAACCAAGAAATTTTAAAATTCCAAGATTTGTCAATAAATAGTCCACAGGCAATCACTGAAGATGTTCTGATTTATCACATTGTAAGCAAAGCAACGGGAGTGACTGAAATACAAGTCTATGATTAGCCTCACCATAACGTAACAATCTTAGGAAAGTATCCTAATACCCACAACTTAAAAGAGAGATCACTTAAGTAAAATCTCAAGCAAAGAATGAGTGTTCAAGCTTCTCCCGTTAAGTGATATTAGAATAAGCCTACGAATAAACTGAAAACCCTATTTTGATAGAAGCAGCGAGTTAGCTAGTAGCTAACTGCTAAAAAGAATATACTCTGCTTTTCAAAGTGTAACTCGGTGCTATAACCAAAATGCTGAGCAATGACAGCAAAACACAACCACAATCTGACTAATGGACTCATTTCTGAACCTCCTGAGTCATCAAGCTTTTTCCTGTATTACTGTGTTAATTTTCTGGTCTTCCCTTCAAATAAATATTTACTGAATGCCTAATTCGTGGCGGCCCTAATGCGAGAGATACAAAGATTAATAGAAGCCAGACCAAAAGTGTAAAGACTGAGTTCTTCCTGTTCTCTGTCCCTTTCTCTTTGAGTCTCCCAAGCAATCATTTCACAGAACCAAAATGTATTTTATTATTAGTTCCCAAAACTGGTTAAGGGTTCTCAATTTAACTCTTAAAAAAAATAAAAATTAAAAATGACTCAAGTTCCTTTTTCTCAACAGTAGAGCTCTCACTTAAATTTTCTTCTGTGAATCAGAGACAAGCTATTAGAATGGCTTCCCATATTCATTACACTTATTATATTTATCAATCTCTCTACTCACAGACTTTTTTTCCCCTTCATTTTACAAGTTAATGTCCCACTGTTTCTACTTCACAGCTTTCCATTCTGTGAAGTTCTTCATTGTTGACTAACCCTGACAGGGAATTTCCTAAAAATGCTTCCTGCTGACATCAGAGAACTCTGCAATCTTTGAATTTTGTTAAAACAATAATAAGCTCCAGGTTAGAAATACCCTACTGGACTGTCAGGTCCTCCTGGTTCGTCTCTCATTTGCCTACAAAGACAAACTTCCTGTTAGGCAATTGTGATCAGCAGAAACTTAACTGAAGCTAACAAGCACATTCTTGACCAACAGGTTTTTTCCCCCTTTGTCAACTAATTCAATGAACAACAATACAACTCAGGAGGAAATCTTGTATAATACTCACTGCTTATTCTGTTAAAGGTCAAAATCATCAGCTTTGCTAAAACCAGAATAAGAACTCAAAAATCCTAATTTCCTCATCAAAATTAAACTGATCAAACGTAAATCACAATGCTCAATGTTAATAGGAACGAATCACCAGTCTCTTTCTACCAGGATACCTAAAGCAGGGTCGGGTGGGTTCTCTCTGTAGTTCGAGTACAGGCCATTAAGTCTAACTGACAGTTCTTAATAATTGTAACACTCCTTCCACTTCCCAAATTTCCAAAAAAATACTGATTCTGTATGATTTCATGATTTCTTCCAAAGAGATACCTCATGAAACATATAATTAAAGCAACTCAATGTCAGGCCTCTGTAAAACTTCACATATAAATACATGCACAACTAAGGGGGGAAAATAAAACTTTCTTCCCGCCATCTGCCTTGACTGTGCTTTACAAAACCCGGTCCCTGTACCGGTGGAAGTTAGCACGGCAAGCAGTTGCTGAGATAAGCTTCTGCAAGGTCCTTTCACACACATTTCTCCCATCATCCTCCCAACAACTCAGAGCAAAACCTACATTTTCTTGTTTTTACCGATAATGAAATCATAGCACAGAAAGGTTAACTTTCGTAAGGTCACACAGCCAGCAGGTGACAAAGCTAGGATAAAACTTGGGTGCTTCCCTCTAAAGTCCATGCCCTTGCTGATAAATCACGCTTCCTCAGAATTTACTGTTTGGCAAGTTCACATCAATACGTATAAAAGGGTTTCCTCAATATTTTGCTATCAACCACTCTCTGGGATGTATGTAAATCTATCTGTTGGGTGTAAAAGTCTGTAAATAATGGTTTTATAGGATGTCTGTATAAACAGTAAACAATGGTCTATAGATGTGTGTGTGCCACACATCACTCTCCTCTTCTGCCTTACCAGTCTTATTCCTCTATTCATCTACGCCTTTGTCTTAAAAGTTATCAAAAGGAAACCTTAAAAAGATTTCACAGCATGAAAAAAGAAATACCTCACATTAATTTCAATCAATGTACCTATTACACACCCAAGTCCTAAGCATTGTGAAGGATTCAAAAGACAATACAGCCTCTGGAAGGGAAATTGAGACATAATCACAAGCTTTTACGATATACAGGAGGGTATGATTAAGTCCCGTATGAGTTAGGAATACATTAAGAGAATTACTGATACAGGTGAGAATTACCAGACAGACAGACAGCAATAATGCATATAAACAACCAACAGGAAAATTCAACTCAACGTTTACTGAACGTGTACTGTAAGAAGGCACTGCGAGGAGTTTATCATTTAATAGGAGACACAAACAGGAAACTCTAATACAAGCCTGGAAAATGCTACGTGCCACAAGATAAACACAAAGTGCCAGAATTCATTCATTTCATTTAACAGTGAACATCGGGTAGGCAATGCTATAAAAACAAAACAGTATCTGCCACCATAACATAAACTGACATCAAAAGAGGTGGCACCTAAATTGTGTTTTGAGGAGACAGGACTTTTCTCAGTACAGGCGGAAGAGAGAATTGCCGAGATCTGATTGAAGCCAGTTTGGCCAGAGAGCCAACTATTAGGTCCCGCCGGTAACTATCGGTAGCCTTCAATGCATGGGGGAAAAAAAAAGAAAAAAAAAAAATAATAATAATAATGTGAGCAGAATCTGAAGAACCCTGGTCTACCGTCTGGCTGAAATATAGAATAAGTGAGGAATAATGTGGGAAGAAAAGCTAGAAGGGAATCTGTAACTGAAATTACTAGGACTTGAAATGCTTTCTTTCCCTTAAAGTGAAATACCACCAGGTGGAACCCAGGAACCTGAGAGTACAAAATTCAGAGGATCATAGAATCAAACAGCACTACTCAGAAGGATATATAGTTGACCCTTGAACAACATGGGTAATTAGGGGCACTGACCCGCATGTAACAGAAAATCCACATATAACTTTTGACTCCCCCAAAACTTAACTACTAATAACCTTCTTTTGACTGGAAGCCTTACCAATAAAATAAACAGGTGGTTAACACATACTTTGTATTTCATATGTATCACCTATTGTATTCTTACATAAAGTAAGCTAAAGAAGATAGTAAGACAATCATTAAAAGAGAAAATACATTTACAGTACTGTAAAAAAACAAAAAATTATTATAAGTGGACCTGCACAGTTCAAACCCACGTCGTTCAAGGGTCAAGTGGCCTTAAGTGCTGTTCTGTGAACCCATGTAATGGCCTAGTGACTTTCCTATGCCAGCTCTCTGTTTTCAGGTTAGAGCAGTCAGGAGCCAGGAGTACCAAGATGTGCGCACAGGATCGTATTTGTCCTTGTCACTTCTGAAGGGGCAGCTAACTTGCTCAAAAATCAGGAGCAAAAATTGATATATTTGAGCCACAGTGTCTTGAGGCAGGTAAATGAGTCTATAAGTAGGTATACGTATGTGGTTTATTCCATTCGGACCCTACTTAATTAAACCTTTGTCTATTTAATCGGCATTTGGTAAATCAACACATGGTTAGAGGTAAATGAGGGTAAGTGATAGTGACAAACTAAGATCCAATTTCTTAAAGCAGTCACTAAAAAACAATCCCACTTACTCCACTTAGAGAACCAATGACAGGAAGGGGGGGGACAATCCAAAAAGAAAAAAAGAAAAATTTCCCATAACTTTACTTAGTTTCTTTCATCTCCTTAGCCTTGTAGCCTGCCTATACTTCAACAGCTCTAAAAAATAGCATTGATTATCTTACCTTCGTAGGTCCAATGTATTTTACTACATTCAACAAGTAATATAGCCACTTAGAGACAACACAAAAAGAAAATGAGTCACTTAAGGTCACTTACCAAAGAGAGGGACCATCCAACAGCTAATAAGAGTATAATTTGTGCTTGGGGGTGACGGGTGGGCACATGCTCACACCCATAGAGAAAGCAAGGGTTACCTTTCCTAAAACTTTAACATCAGCTTCTGCTATCTTCTAATAGAGAAAACTTACCATCTTTCTCTTCCAATCAGCAGCTCTGTGAGCGCTTTCTAGCAATGAGTGCCTGAACATCAACTCCTACTCCTAACTCAAGCATTAAAAAACATCATGTGATACATAATGCAGTTTTCATTCTTTCCAGTGATATCCACTGCACTAGACATAGACATACTTCCAACTGGATTATTACTTCTCTACCTCATTAATAATAAAACTCATTTTACCAAAGTCAGAAACAAAGTCCCACAAACTAAGTACTATAGTCCAATATAAGGCCATGAAAGTCATTTGGTGGTTAAATTATTTACCATCAGCAATTATAAATTCAGTTGTCTCAATCAAGAGTTTATAGTCTATATTAAAGACTGAACCCTATGAGGTAGGTCACTTGGAGAAGCATTCTTTGTGGACCCAGCCTTAGGCAGAGATAGGAGTCACAAAGGGAGGTTATATTTTGGAGATTTAATTATTGGGCTATCACCAGCTTTATTTCCTAGCAAACTAAAAAGAAAAACAAAAACACAAGGGAAAAAAGAAAAAGAAAAAGAATCAAAATCAAAAGAAGTGGAAGGATGAAGATTAAGAAACTGGAGATATCCCAAAAGTCTGTTTCCTGTCTTTAATACAGCACTCTCTGGAATATCAAATGAAAGTTATCCTGTTAACCATTAAGTACCAAACTGGTACAGGCAGCACAATCACAAATATTTGAGTATTGAAGCTGACTCATAAAAATCTAAAAATATTTCATGCTTTAGGCTCTTAACATACCATCAGTTTAACCCATTCCTTTCTTTCAATCATGTTATTTTAGAACCAACGTAAAAAGTATTTTTAACCTAGTTCTGGAAACTGTAATTAAAATGCAGCGAATACAGAGAGACACATGCAATTAGATTTTAAGGCATTATCATTCCTACATCCAATCCTGGATTTACTAAATCAGTTGTTAAATACCTGCACTATCCACTACAATAAATACATACATGTTTATGAAAAGGGTTGCCTAAGAGTCTTAACTGGTATCCCTTTGAGAGAATATCAAAATCCGTATATGAAAAGCCATTTCAAAATTGCTCTCTTTGTTAAATTTTCTGAGAATTCCAGTATATAACGTCCTTGAAAGGCTGAAATATCTTTTCAGATCACAGACAAGTACAATCATGTATAATCAAAACTTTAAGTTATGAGCATGGGGAACCAACAAATTTAGGGCAGAGTTTTTTTTTTTTTTTTTTTTTTTTTTTTTTTTTTTTTTTTTTTTTTTTTTTTTTACCATACACTCAAAAACACTAAATGAATTATGCAGTATTTCTTCTAAGTCTTTTGAAAATAAAGACATTTTAGTCATTTTTTAAATGAATGAAAATGGAAGGAGCACAGAACAGCCAATTTCAAAGAGGCACCAAGTTACAATTTTTCAATATGAAGTACTCCTCCAGTTTAAGTGTTTGTATTGTACATCCATAAGAATACGGATGTACTATATGTGGAATCCCAATGAAGATATTTACCAAAATAACCCACTACAAAATTTTCAGAATACAAAGGCTTGACTACGATAGTTTGATAAATTATACTGAAAAAGGAAAAGTTACTTACTACATGAAAATCAAAGAAAAACTCACAAGTGACAACATCCTTGAAAAAGCAAGCACACGTGTGCACACGAGCCCAAAGCAGGAACAACCAAAGCTTTTTTTTTTCCTTCTAGTTTTAAAGAATACTGGAGAGGTCTAGTTCTGTGAATTATGCAAAGGACAGCAAATATTAAGTTGTGTATTTACGCTACTGTACTTCCATTTTTAAAACATGCAGCTCAACTCCCCAGATACCATCATCCACAGAAACCATGCAGCTATCCAACAGACTTTCAGTGTCACCATTTATTATTTATAGCATTAAATGGGGGAAGTGGCTCTGATGTCACCGACCCTACCCAGTGGAATCACTGACTCAATAAACATTTCACACTGGAGAAAATCTGGCTAGGAAAACATTGTGCTGGGTTAAGTAGATTCTTTCATCTTCCCTCTCAACCCTGGGGTTGAGGTGGTTACTGTGTTAGGAGAGATAGAAAGAAACTGTCAAGGTTTCCACAGGAAAGAAACCCTGAAGACTTCCTCCTCCCAACTCTCCAAAGCCCAGTTTGATTCCCCCAATGTTCAAATTGGCAGGTAATAGCTGCCATGTTTCTTTTCTTCCACCAATCCATCCACCAAGCAGCAAATTCTTCGCTTCTGGTAACCACTCTCTCACAGTCCTGTCTCCAAAAACCCCTTCTGGCTCCAAGTCCTAAGGCGGAAAGCGGTTGGGGTGTCCGTAGGGCCAGGGAGTCTGGCATGGCTACCAATGGCTAGTAACAGAAGAGTGATCGCTTCCCCAGGGGCCTAGGATTCTCTCTCTCTCTTTTTTTTTTTTTTTTTAATAAGAAAGAACTGGCGGCAGTGATGAGGACAACCCTACCCCGCTCCTCCCCAATTTTCCCAAAGCAGCGCCGAAAAACATGAAGTTACAGTTTCCCTTTCCTGGGAGATGGAATCCGGAGTACCTGGGGCCTTGCTATGCAAACATCCCTCATCGCGGAGTAGGAAACCCTTTGTCCGAGAAGCCGGACACCACAGGGGCCCGGGAAAGAGGCCCCTTATACGTCATATCTACAAACCCCACAGCTCCCACCTCCACCCCTGTAGGGCCTATCCCGGCATCCACACAGCCCTACGCTGGGGAGAGGGTGCTGAGACCCCTACTAGGACGCGGAGACCGAGGCCCTGACCCGTCTCCTCCTAACCCCCCTCCCACCACCATCTCACTCGGCCTGAGTGGGGCTTGCAAGAGCGGTGCAGGCCTGGGCCGGAGAAATAGAGAAAAAAATCCCCTTCTAAGAGAAGGAGAATGAGATGCTAGACCGAGTGTGCGCTAAGGCCACAGCAGAAGCGAGCGAGGGTCCTTCGAGAGACGGGCCCGGATATAGGACAGAGGAAGGAATGAGAACCGAGAAGCATGGAGGGGGCCGGGCCAGGTCCGGCCTGAGATCTCGAGGGATCTGGAGGAACCGCGCCGGCCCCGAGGCCAGGGAAGGCGGGGGGCCCAGGTCGGGGCCGCGGCGGCGGGGAAGGGCCGGAGCCGGCCTCGCGCCGGACGCTGAGGTGGGCAGGCCCGCCCGGGGCCGGTCGGACGGAAGAACGGTCCAGCGGGCCGCACTCACCATGAGCTCGATGGTCTTGTCCTCAATCACCGAGTCGGGCTCCATGGCGGCCCCGGCGGCCCCGCCTCGCTCTCCCCGCGCAGCAGCGAACGGCCCGGGCGGAGGAGGCGACGGCGGAGGCGGCAGAGGCGGAGGCGGCTATCGTACCCACTCTAGCTGCCAGCCCGCCCGGGCCGCCGGCAGCTCCGCCCTCCCCCTCGGCGAACGCAGTACGCCGATCGAGGACTACAGCTCCCAGCAGGCGCCGGGGAGCCCGCAGAGCGTTGTGGGAACGAGAAGCCAACACCAGGCTAATCTCTCTTGGCACCCCGAAGCTGAATTCTGAGCCGAAAGTAGCACTGGACTTTGAAAGTGGCACGTGCAAACCTAAAGAATGAAGGGCTCCTTCAAAACAGGGCCTCAGGAGCGCCACAACTACATATCCCAGAAAGCCCTCGCGCGGACTCTCCTTCCGGCTAGTTTCCCCTGACTTCCTGGCAGCCCCAGGCGCTTCGGACCGGGACGGAAACTCCGAGGTAACTCTTCACTCGTCAGAAATCTTGCGTGTGGACCGATTTCCGCACATGCGCACTCGACCGCAGTGTCCACAGGACTCCTAGCTAGCGGGGAGGCTGGTGGGCGAGCCGCTGGTGATAGGGACAGATGTTGGAGACAGGTGGGTTCTAGGTGCGTTAGGAAGCCCTGGCGCTCAGGTGTGGGAGGGTGCCAGCCAGCGAAAGAAGCTCAGGCAAGGGAGGAGGCTCTGAGAGTTTGGGCATCCCAGGAGTGAGAGGTTTGGAAATTTAATTGGGGAAAGTGGGTTTATGGAGATGAACAATTGGTGCTGTCTGTACGCACCACGAACTGGGAAGAGCAGAGAAATGAAAGGGAACCTGTGCATATTGGGCCCCTCTTTGTCATTCGTTCAGAAAGTACTTATTTTTTAAACTTCCAGCCTCTGCCGGGTACCAGTCTAGGCACTGGAAATCAGCTCCGAACGTTACAGGGAAGGATTCGGTTATCATGGAGTTTAATTCTAGTGGTGGAAAAACATTAACCAAAAGAGTGGGCGCTAAGAAGGACCACAGCTGGAGACCTGGAGACTCCTACTGAATTCTGCCTTCACCTCTGTATGAACTTTGTCAGGTCTGTCAGTGGTCACTAACCAAAGACCACTAGGGACACGCTGATTGAACAAGTTGGGCTAATTACTGGTTGCAATGAGGGAGAATATCCACCATGAAAAATCATAAGTAAGAGTTGTTAGGTGATTTGGGAGAGGGTGTAAGGAAGTGGGGCTTTACTGTGGATCAGATGCTATCAGGAAGTGGGGGTAATTCTATGATGGGGCATCTCAGTTTTTCCTAGAACACGGGAACACTAGATTGAGGTTGCAGCTGTAATTGGTAAAGAAGCAGAAACCCCTCATTAGCCAAGATGACGGATGTTTGGTCATTTTTTGTGGTTTGGACAATGTTCATGTTTTATCTGCTTTCAAATGTAACTAAGGAGCGATCTTGTCTTTGTCTTGATCTATCCATGGTCAGAGAATGGCCTCATCTGATGTTTACATTCTGCCAAACTGTGTTCAACAGGAGAGCACAAGGTCTACCTAAGAGGGCTAGCTATCATCTAGTAGCATTACAACTAAATATCAGAGGCTGCTTTTCTCTTTCTCTAGTGTTTTGCATTCTCTGTACCTGTAAAGTGAGGGGACTTGATGACCTAGAAATCTTTCTATTTCTAAGGATCAAGTTATTACGGTAATTTGTATGCATGCAGGGCACAGTGTAAGTTCCACACTGGTAGAGTTTGAAGTTTCATAGTCCTTTGGTGCTTTCCACCAAAGGAATTAAAAGCAGTAGGAAAAGAGAGCACAGAATTGGAAAGTTACTGCCACTAACTTGCTGTCTGAATTTAACTAGAACCCTTCCCCTGTCTAGGCATTGGGACATTCATTAGTAAAACAGGAGTTAGGATAAATGACCTCTGTTTCACTTACCTTTTTGTATAATAATAAACCACACCCAAGACTTAGTAACTTTAAAAACGGTGGTTTATTTTTACAATTCTGTGGGTCAACTGGACTCAGCTGGGCCCACATGGTATAAGCTGAGGTTACTCATAGAGACTGCAATCAGCTGGGAGCTCATCAAAATAGCTTCTCATCCTCTCAGGCCTGTCTTCTCCACCTGGTGTCTTATTCAAAGTTCTGCACGGTGACTGGCTTCCAAGAAGATGAGCCCCAATGAGCAAATGATTATCAAGCTTTTCTTTGCACCACGCTTGCTAATGTCCCGTTGGCCAAAGCAAGTCATAGAGCCAAACCCAGAGTGAATGTGGAAAGGGACTATGCAAGCTTGTTCACAAGCAATCATGGTTCACTGGGACTACCAGTGTAACAGCCAACCAAGACCTCTGAGTTCCCAGCATTTGCCACAGGACCTGGCACATAGGGTGAGGGTAGGAGTCACAAGCTGTATTCCCCAATATGTATGTTTATCCTACACCCTATTTATCGTTTTAAAATTTGACATTTTCACAAAGTCTGAATTTCCATCTTATCTTGAAATATTAGAGAATCTGACTATATTGGATATACATGGCAACAATATGCAATGGTTAAGTAGCAACTAACTTCTTTATAGGAAGCATGTGCTCTATAGATTTCCACTGTCACCATTGCCCCCTGTTGTCTTCTGTCTGCAGGCTCCACTCATTTAAATTGCATGCCTAACCCATAGAGATATTTGAGTTTGCAGCCCTTGGCGTTAGAACTATAATGGAGATAACTCAAGGTTTCTATCTTTTTATTAAAACCATATTCTACTGTAAGAGGAAAAAAATACTATTGGGTCAAATTCCAGGAGCTCAAGGAATTTAAAAAGTCTTATATTGATAGAAGCCTTACCCCAGCTATACGAGAGACAAGCTGAGCCAAGGCTTATCACTTTAGTCAAACAAGAACTCAGGTTCTCAGGTATTTTTATTGCTTCAGGCTTGAAGCCAGCTGGTGATTACATTTGGTCATCAATAAAGGCAGAAGGCCTTGAGGCATATTTCAGTTTTTCAGATAGCTCTGCTTTGGGGTTTACAAGACCTGCTAACAACAAGGTGGTCAGGTCCACAATCCCTTAACCAAAACCCTAAGGTCTGAAACGTATTCAGAATTCAAAATTGTTTAGATTGTACAAAGACAGTATGGTACACGTGCAGTATATGTAATATAACACACACAGTGGGGTCTAGGAGAACACTTCATAATAAAATACATTAATTTTGTGCAGCAGAACTTACGTGAACCTGTTATCAATTAATAGCCTCTCAGTTCCAAGTTCTTTTACATACTTTGAAACACAGGAGTGGGACCCTCTGAATGTTTCCCCTCTCCTCTGCCTGCTGGCACAATGTTCCTAGAGGAACACAAGCAGATGGAGGATCTTCCTAATTCCAATATACTTTATTTTCCTTCTTGCTTTTGTGGTATACAGCAGCAAATGGTTTGCAGAACCATATCCAAACCAGCCCCCCAACACATATACATGGGTGGCTGGGACAGTCATAGGGTGGCTTCCCAGTGAACTCAGTGACAACCTCAGTGGGAAGTTTCCTGCTCGCCAGCCCTAACCTGGAGCACTTCAGCAAATGTCACCATCCAATGGGTCACAATTAACCATCTTGCCAGTAAGGTCTGAATCTCAGCCTAGCTGTGGGGGTGGAAGGCTTCTCCAAGTTTCTTCCTCAGGTTCTCTGCATCAGCCCTAAAGGTAATGGTTGCTCCTTATGACTGCTGTTTATTTAGAGTTGTCTTTGCCCCTTAGTACTTGATGCCCTGTTCCTAGTTACTAGTTTTTTCTGCTTTTTGTTTCTTTTGTTTTTTAGATTCCACGTATAAGTGAAATCATCTGGTACTTGGTTTTTTTCTCTGTCTGACTTCTTTCACTTAGCACAATACCCTCTAGGTCCATCCATACTGTCCCAAATGGCAAGATCTCACTCTCTTTGTGGCTGAATAATATCCCACTGTGTATGCATACCACGTCTTCTTTTAACATTCCTCAATCAATGGACTTGTAGGTTGCTTCCATATTTTGGCTTTGTAAATGCTACAGTAACATTGGGGTGCATGTATCTTTTCAGGTTAGTATTTTCATTTTCCTTGGGTAAATGCCCAATAGTGGAGTACTAGATCATATGGTATTTCTATTTTTAATTTTTTGAGGAACCTTAATACCGTTTTCCACACTGGCTGCACCAATTTACATTCCCATTAACAGTGAACAAGGGTTCCTTTTTCTCCACATACTCAGCAACACTTGTCATTTCTTCTTTTTGATACTAGTCATTCTGACAGGTGTTAAGATGAGATCTCATTGTGATGCTCCGTAGCTCAGGGGTTAGAGCCCTGGTCTCGTAAGATGATATCTCATTGTGGTTTTGACTTGCATTTCCCTGATGATTAATGATGTTGAGCGTCTTTTCATGGGTCTGTTGGCCATCTGTATGTCTTTGTGGATAAAATGTTCAGGTCATCTGCCCATTTTTTAATCGAACATTTTTGGTGTTGAGTTGCTTAAGTTATTTCTGTATTTTGGATGTTAACCCCTTATTGGATACATCATTCACAAATATCTTCTATTCAGTAGGTTACCTTTTCATTTCGTTTTGATATACAAAAGCTTTTTATTTTAGTGTAGTCCTAATATTGCATTTTTACTTTTGTTTCATTTGCCTGAGGGGGCATATCTAGACAAACGTTGTTAAGGCTGATGTCAAAGAAACTACTGCCTATATTTTCTTCTAGAAGTTTTATGGCTTCGGGTCTCACATCTAGGTCTTTAATCCATTTTGAGTTTATTTTTGTGTATGGTGTAAGAAAATGGTCCAGTTTCATTCTTTTGCATTTTTGAGAGAGAGAGAGAGAGAGGGAGAGCGCATGAGCAGGAGAGAGGAAGAGAGAGAGGGAGACAGAGAATTCCAAACTGTGTTAGCACAGAGCCTGACACAGGGCTTAAACTTACAAACTAGGAGATTATGACCTGAGCAGAAATCAAGAGTCAGACATTTAACCTACTGAGCCACCCAGGTACCTCAATAATGTTTACTTTAAGCTGCTACATTTTGAGTTAATTTGTTCCACAGCAATAGATAACTAATAGAGATGCAAAAGAGAGAGAGTATGCATGCTAATTCAAA